CGGCGTACAATGATCCAGCTGGGGCAGGCAGGGCTGCTGCTGCTGTAGTCCTGGAGCTTCTAAGGAACTCTTTCGTGGAAGGCAGTGTGAGGTCCAGACTCCAGACTGTGTATGATGGGCTGGGCTTGGTGGTAGGTTGTAATTAGATTCCTCCAGTTAGGTGCTCACAATGTGTGGGTTTAATTGCTCTAAGCCGACCCAAAAATATGCACACACAGCTTTTGTCGAAGTCTTTAAATAAGTGAATCCCCTGTAATCTATTTAACATGAGAGAGGGAGGAGAATATAATATAGAGGCGGGAGGGAGGTATAGGAGAGAGAGGGCGAGCTGGATAGACAATGACAGAGAGAGAGAGAGAGAGAGAGAGAGGGAGAGGGAGAGGACGGTGTTTTTGGGTTGGTGCTCTGCTTTTAATCTTTCCATTACAGAGTGATGGGCCTGGGGGTGGGAGTTAGTCTCACACACTCTGAGCAACTCCAATTCTCCCATACTTTCCACTCACTGAGCACATCAAACCTGTCAATAATTATGGACTGCTGCAGACGAGAACCAGTATGTGTTGAGAGTCAGTATGAGTGTGTATTTATGTTTCAGTACTGTCTGCAATGAGTAAAGTAAGGCTGCCAATCGATGAAAATGGCATCTATCGAATGCAATGGCTAGACTTTATTCTAATCATGACAAATGCTTTGTAGTATAACCATTAGGGCAGTAATATCAGTTGAGTAACACTTTACTTGAAGCCTTTGTGTATAATTTATTATATAGGCATTTATAATGTATGTTGTAAAGCATTATATCTTTCATAAATAATTGTAACCAAACTTAAGATACATTTTAATGTTTGCAGCATTGGACCCCATTGACATTGACTTATTGTATGGACTTTATTTTTTTTAATTATTTCTTCTTTGGTCTTGCACAGAAGAAAGAAATATGCATACAGGTTTAGAACAAAATGAGGGTGAGTAAATAAGGACACCATTTTATTTTTGTGTGAACGATCCTTTCAATGCATCACAGAATCCAAAATTAGGATGAATCATAAATAATTATGTCTGCCTATATCAAGCTCCACTCTATATTTGCAAAATGCACAACATTTAGCCATTCACAAATTAGCCTCACATTCCAAATGTTGCAGCTGCGTGTATTTTCCCATGTATTTTCAGCTGACCCCATTTTAGAATATGATAAAACCCCTCCCCTTCAGGAAGAAGCAATCTAGGGCACACAGCAACCACCCCCAAGCCTCGTCTACTGTCCTGCTCCAGTTGTTCCCACTGCTGGACTCTGGGGCAGCAGAGCGTACAGTATGAGAGGACAGAGACACTGATAATACACAACACCTGTGGCCATATCTGTTTGATCCTTGCCCTTGCCCTTGGTGTTGTTGTGTGAACTCTGTGAATTCTGGGTCACTATATGCCTATTTACTTATTTTATTCCTTGTGTTCAGCAAGAAATATTACCTTCATTAGTTATGGTTGAAACAGAATGCAATACAGCATAATTTTAAAGCTTGTTTGGAAATGATGCTGAATAAAAATATTATGTTAAAAAGTGTTTAATATTTTAATGATGGATATTTATAGTTTAAAATTTCTGGGACAACGTAAAAAAATTGAGTAATTTGATTAAAACAGTGTGAAAGAGCATACACACACACACACACACACACACACACACACACATCTTACACTCATCAAGGCTGCATTTATTTGATAAAAATACAGTAAAAACTGGATTATTGTGAAATATTTTACAATTTAAAAGAACTGTTTTATATTTTAATATATTTTAAATTGTGATTTATT